AGATTTGGGAAGAAAATAAGAGACCTGAGCAGTATTCACAGGCACACAATGATGCTGGGACACCTCCAGAAGAAAACCTTCCGCAGAAAGCAAATTTACATTTAAAAAAATAATAATCCTGAAGTTTTACCAGTAGAGGGAAACAGAGCACCTTGACTGCAACCTGCTCAGAGAGGCAGGGTTGTAGCATCTTCAGTTTCCCTTTTCTTTGATGATGATCCTGAGTTTCCCTTCTCCTGCCTCTTTTTCTGGTGGTCTCCCAGGTTGACCCCTTGCTTCCTGCAGCCCTACACCACGTGCAGGTGGCCCCTTGTCCAGGAGGTGATGAGGTCCTGGCAATGGGTCATCCACCTACTCCATCTCAGGGCACCTTCAGCTTCTTGCTGTCCCAGCTTCTCTCTTCCCAGAAATGGGGTAGTCTTTGTCCTTGGTACACAAATGAAAACTGCAAAGTCTGTTTCATAAAGTTAGGTTGCTAAATCTTCATTAAGGCTTTTATTTACGAGTCAGTCAGTCTTCAAAGCTGTTCTGCACCTCTGACTTAATGGAATTTGTGACTTCTTAGCACTTCTGAAAATTAGGCCCCTGAAGATGTTCTCCAGCACTTATATTTGGCGGTAGAATTCTGGCTGGAGGGATGGAGTTGTTTTTGGGGGGTTGATTTCTTTTTCAGAGTCCATTAAGAAATATCTAATCATTTTTATAGGCAAATTATATATATATAATGCCTATCTCAGAGTAATGACTGTGGTATACAAATTTAGGAAAAAAAAAAAAAAAAAAAAGACTGTGAGTCTGTATTTTGTATGGTACAAATAGAATAATAATTACTTGAAAGCAACAAGATCATAAATTTTCAAAGAAAAAATATATATAAATCCTTGCTTTCCCAGGGATGGATCTTATATTTGGAATTTACCTGATCAGAGAGATTTTCTACTCATGCAGATTTGTGTGTGACCTCTGCACACAATCCCAGCTTTCTCTTGTCTATCTCACATTCTGCAGTGCCACCTTCACATCCCAAAAAATAGACTCCTGTTAGCAATGGTAAAGAAGGCAAGCCAGCAAACTGTTTAAAATCTGCATTTATTAGTCCAGGAGATGAACAGAGTGATGCCAGACCTGTTAACAAAGGTTAACAATGAGTAGGAAGTTGTTTTTTAACAACTTGCAGTGGGGTGAGGTGTTGCTGTTGGCCAGGACTTTTTGGGAGGCAACGGTACAGGTACCAGCATGGAGCAGGATGTGACTGGGATGTGCACCTGGGTCCGAAGAGCTTTCTTGGATCCCACAGCTGAGAGGATGCCTGGAAACAACCCAAAAATGTGACCCATGGTCTGCATAAACAAATACAAAAAAAAAAGTCCATGTAACCACTGGCTTACGGCATACAGCAACCACAAAGTGTGAGTTTTCACAGAATCATTTTTTTCTGTTTGTTTTTTTTTTTTTCTTCTGTCATTTTTAGCCCCATGTTTATTAACATGGTCTTCTTGAAGGAGTTAATACTCTATTGCCATTCAAGAGCCATTTAAAAATGTATCTCATTAACAGGGTTATGATTGCTCAGATGAGATCAATAGGCAAAGCTGATTTTTCCAGGAATTGAGGTCACCTGGGGGTTTAGTCTTGCCATTGAAAAATTTTCTTGCATTGAAAAACTGGTCTTACAGAAGAATGATGGTAAGTTAATGAAAATGAGAGAGCCTGAAAGTGTTGCACAGGATAAGTGTATTTTTTCAATTGCATTCTTATATGCTCATCAGGAGAAGACATAGGTGTAGCACCACATCTTTATTTCATAGGGACCAATCTTTATTTTTCTTCTTTCATATAAACTACATCATTAACATAATCATTGTTTATCATGAAAATTCCATACTTGGCTAGAAAAATGCAGAGCAAATGACACAGGACATTAAATTATCAGTATCATTTGTTTTGAAGTCAGAACATACAAAAGATTATTTTAAAACCTGCATTTCTATAAGCTTTGTCTGGTTTTGTTCTGTTGTTTTTTAATACTAGCCTTTGCGGGAAGGATAGAGAGAAATTGTCATAAGCTTTTTTTAGAGTGGACTATGCAAGTAAAATGCAACAGGTAGGATTACATTAAATTGACTCAGCCATCAAAAATTTTCTTCTCATTATTATCTTTTATGGTAACAGGATTGCTTCTTTGATTCATTTTTGCTTCTTGTTTTTTTTTGGTTTTTTTTTTTTTGAAGGAGAAAAAAAAAAAGAAAGTTTTCCTTTCCTTTCCTTTCCTTTCCTTTCCTTTCCTTTCCTTTCCTTTCCTTTCCTTTCCTTTCCTTTCCTTTCCTTTCCTTTCCTTTCCTTTCCTTTCCTTTCCTTTCCTTTCCTTTCCTTTCCTTTCCTTTCCTTTCCTTTCCTTTCCTTTCCTTTCCTTTCCTTTCCTTTCCTTTCCTTTCCATTTTCCCTTTTTTTCCCCCCAATGAGTGGTGGCATTAGATAAAAATGAATCTGCTATTGACAGAGTCAGCTGTTACACAATACGAATTAGCTCCCCAAAATCATAATATTGTATCAAAAATATTTCATTCTAAATCATTTAATCAAAATATCTATTTTCTTCTTTCAGATTTTTTCTCAAAATTATGTGCACAAGGAACTTCAGTTCTAATAGAAGATTTTTTTTTTTCCTGTTTTCCTCTGTCTCTAGGGAATGAATACTTAGTACAGTAAGTCCTAAGATTTTGGAACACAAATTAACATTATTATCTAGATTTTCAAAGGCAGGTGGGTAAAACTGAACCTCATCAAATGCCTTTTATTTAGCCATGTAGCTCTTGTAATGATAATTTGCAAAGAATTGTATCCCTAAGTGATTTCCTAAGTGTCTCCATTGCTGTGTGAGTTTAAATGAGGGGGGACTTACATAAGAGAAACTTAATTATATGTTGTTTTCTCTTTCAGAAAATGTTCTCCCCATGTTAAAAAACAACAATGACAACGAAAACCCTACTTAAAACCAGAAAAAAAAAAATAAAATAGTTCAGTTCCAAAATAATAGCTGATAGTAGTAGATAATGGTGCTGGGTTTAATAGGGATGTGATACTCACCAGCCATGGTGAGTATGAAGACTATGGAGAAACCATCCTAGGCAGCCCATTGGCGTGCTCTGCAAAAATCAAAATGAAAAATGACTCCTTAGAAACTGTGTATTTTTTATTCCACATATTTTCTACTTGTATTTAAGCTCTTCCAAGTGAAAATGAAGAGCTCAGTTGGTGTGAGCTGCCCCAGTAGGAATGTGCCGTGTTGATCATTTGGCTACGGTAACGCCGCTTTCATTTACCTGTAGTTGTCGTAAATGCTGACTACTTGATCTGAAGTTATTTCATACATTTTTTGCTAGATATTTTCCACATGTTCTTAAGATTTAAGCGAACAGTAATTCAAGCCCTTTGAAATCCAAATAAAATGCAAAAATACACTTCATATTTCACTTACCTGATTTATATTCCAAGTGGCTATTCGCTGGATGATGTGCTTTCCTATGGAAATAGGCTTCAACAAAAATGTACCCTGCTATGGCCTAGTGAAAACTAGGGTCTTTGCAAATGTTTTCACACATTCTTTGAGTGCTTTTCGCTTGTAAATTATTCAGGTAGAAACATTATAAAGCATATGGTGTCACTGAAGAGTTGGAAAATGAAGGGTGCTGCACTGGGATTAAGGAAAGCGTGCATAAGAGGCTTTGTAACTGGTCTTCTCTTTCTCTCAGAACACCAAATCTGCAAGGATTTCTGATGTTTACAGGAAAATAAATTGCTTTTGGGTGCTTTGCTTGAAACAGAGCACTCTCATCACCCTGCCATGCCATTGAAGCATTGTAGCAACAGACAAATACAGCTCCTAGTGGATGCTTCTGGGGTTCTGTGCTATTCGGTTCACTTCACGACACTAACAAGTTTAATATTGGACCAGCTTTCTGCTCTCTTACTTTGGTATTAAAGTGACTCCACAAAGGTACACATACAGATATTTAAATCTACTAACTGGAGTGACATTTCAGTGCCAAGGTCACAATGATGTGGTTTTTTAACCCGACAATAAATAATGATCAGGTTTTTTTGCACCTCCTGCTCTTGAGCTTAATTAGTCTGCTCTGAAGCAGGGATTAATGCCTCTCTTTAGGATACTTATAAAAATATTTTCTATTATTTCTTAAGAACTAGGCTTAATGCCATGAAGTAAACACCACAGTGAGTTTTTTGCAATATTATACATAAATAAAAATGGATAAACAAGGCAACAGTTCTCTCTTGGAAGGTGCCAATTTTTTAATATATAAAAAACATTGAAACATGGAGTATCAAATCATGACAGAACTAGATTTGAAGGCAGCTATCCAGAAGGTTTCCTCATTCTTTATAGAGAAGATTTCAAGGGCAAAATGGATCCTTTAGCTCCCATCCTGGCAGATAAGAGGTAGCTTTCAGTGGGATTTTATTTTTTTAATATGTGTTATATCTATATATAATGTAGATGTTTTGTTTCAGGCTGTTGCAGAGAAGTTCAGGCAGATGAGCTCTGATAGAGGAGGACATACCCAACCCTCACTTCACTTCTGTTGGACTTTTCTGCCATACACCAGAGTCAGAAGACAGGGACATGCCCCATACTCTACCCACCCTGGAGAAGTAGCCTAAGCCACTGATGAGTGAAGTATGAGCACATGTCCATCACACAATGATTTTCCACTGCATGATGTTGATATCCAAGTAAATAGCACAGCAGGTTAGTGGTTAACATCTTAATTCACTGCAACTATTTGCTCAATGAATATGGAATATGAGTTTCTCATCTTGCTGACCTTCTTTGTGTCCCCTGAAAATTCCACTAGGTACAACAGGAATTTGGCGTTTTCATTCAAAAAGAGCTCGTTTTGAATGTTTATAGTTTAGTAGCAAAATGACCCAGCAGGTGTAATGTTTTTAGCAAGATATGTCACGCATTAAAACAGGGAAGTGTTTGCTAACCATTAGTAAATGACTGATGACAGTACGTCTTGGAACAGCTGTTAAGGAAAAGGTAATGAATCTGTTTTGAAGATTTTTATAGTTAGTTTCTTTACAAAGAAGATTGTTTAACCATAGGCAGTAAATGGCTTTGCAAGCTCGGGCTAGAGGTTTATTGAGGCACAAAAACTGTGAACTCAGAGTCATTCTGTTAAAAGTTGCAGCATACAAGGAAATAAGTACATATTCATTTAAATAAATAAATAAACAAACACAAAAATAGAGGTAACCCTCCAGAGCATTTCCACTCCTGCTCCATACATGTATATACTGGATGCATGGAGAAGTAGCTATGGAGTACCCTAACAGCACAGGATGCCTCTCTTACAGATTTACCAGTGAATTTAATGCAGGATTTGCGTGCTGTGCCAGGGGCAGAGAGGTGGCCACGGTGCGGGGCCATGCAGTCCCCCTCTTCCTGCATGATGCCTAGAGATGAGGGAGATACTCAGGTTAGAAATGTTTGACCCTGGCAGGTAAGAGAGATGGCTCTTCCCTCCCATTCCCCCCAGATACCCACATTGATTTCAGGCTCTCACATCTCCCCTATTTGGTTCACAAACTGGAAGTAAACGGGTGCGGATTCAGCCCTGGAGTGCCTCGTTTGTTGGCAGGAATCGTCATTGCTCAGCAGCTGTTTATGGCTGTCAAGGAATCAAAGCCACCGCTCCTGCTCTCCAGAAACTGAAATTTCCCTCTCCCATGAAGATGCTCTGTTGAGGAGCTGTGCACATTCACTTCCCTGCATGTGCATTTTTGCATATAAATGCAGCTTCTGCAGCAAATGATGTTTTTGGAATGGTTATGTTAGACCAGCTGCTGCTTCGGAGCTCCTATTCTCACAGATAGCTTCTCCCTAGAGCATCGTTTGCCGCAAGAATGCTTGCTCTAGTTTCTAAGAAAAACAGCTGAAAAGCTGCACATTGCTCATGGGTGAGGGGGGAGGCTGTAAAGGAAGGAATAAACACTTGGCACAGATAAGTGGTAGCAGGTAGTTCACAGAACTGGCACTGGTCCTTGTGACCCATTTGTCTTCTGTGGTATCAGTTCCCTGTAGAAGACTTACCCAGTTTTACAAATTCAGAAAAATGACTAAATGTTAAAATAGTTTATGATAGTAATGTTCAAGTGAGGGAGCAGTGCTTTATAGGTCATAATTACAGACTCCAGTCATCCTCAGTAATCAGAATCACTTAGAAAACTGTGTCCTCACCCCAAACCTCATCCATGGACAACATGCTGCTGTGTGCCCCCAGTAATTCTGGGTTTAATGGAGTTTGACTAAGAAAGCAAGCTGTGACAGGCTTGTAGAGGAGGAGTGCACTGGGTGCAGGGAGTGGACACATTGACCATGCTGTAGGAAGATGACAGAAACCCACCTTGTTGGTACACTCCCTGATGGGAGCAGCCATAATCGTGACCCATAAAGGCTTCCTCGAAGTGCAGCTGGGTGCCTGAGAAGCAGACTTTCTGGAGGTAGCATTAATAAGGGAAAAAAACAAAGAACTTCTTGTTGGGATGGGCGAAAATAGTTAGGAAAAAGGAAAACATCCTCAGAAAGTAGGAATCATCAACTGCTATTAGATGTTCTACCTGAAAGAAAAGGAAATAGTCTGGTGAAAGTACATTTTTTTTGTGTGTGTGAGAGAATAGGAATCATCATCTATTGGTTACCTCGGGAGAAAAATAGAAATTAGCAATGTCCATTGGCTGCTATAAGAGATGGCGTCCTATGCTGTCTTATGTCTTGGTGACATAAAAATGACTCATTTTCTACCCAGAATGGAGTCTTTTTTTTCTGAGAGCTTCCTCTGCTACACAGTTGTTTTTTTTTTGTTTTTGTTTTTTTTTTAAAAAATTTACTACAAGATTCCCTACACAAATTGAACCTTCACTGGGAATGCCTGGCTGACCCTGACCTCCATGATGTGCATCATCTTCAAAGTGAGGCTGCTACTTTATTGGGCCCCTTCCTGGGCCCACTTCTGGGGTCAGTCCTCATTGAACCTTTCCTGAGGTCAGTTTGACCTCACTTCTGGGATCATTTTGATAGCACTTGTAACCTGTAGCACTCTGGAAAAAAAATAAATATATATATATACACACATATATATATATACACATATGCATATAAGTATTCCATCATAAGTATATTTGCTACTTCAGTAGTGATAATTTTGCAGCAAGCTGTAGTATTTATATATATATACATATATATACACTTGCTGCTATATTACAGATTTTTGCTACTACTGATAATATAGATACAGGTTTTCATTCCTAGTAATAATTCAGAATAACTTGATATCTACCTGTTTTGTCAGTCATAGGTATACTTGACAGTCAGAATTCGTAGTAACCTGTGATAGAGAAATTTAGGAAATAGAGCTTCTGTGCCCTTGCATGTTACAGCATCCTGCAAACCCTGTTGTATACCTGCAGGCTGGGTAACCCTGTAGGTCATGACACCCCAAGGTGTCCACACCTGGAGCTGAATCTGGTCCCTTGCTGCCCATTTCAACAGATTTACCATGCCACAGAGGCTGGACTATGTGGTCAATATGTCCTTAGCTGCTGTTAGCAGACATTTCCCCTCCACTTTTCTGCTTTTAACTTCCCTGTCCACAGCAATAAAAAAGCAGAGAAGTGCACTCACCCCTGCTCTCCTGCCTTGTTTTATCTTGCAAGCTTTTTGTGGCACTTAAGACAGTGGAGTAAAGTATCCAATTAAAGACAAAATACAAGCACCTGCTACTGCTCCGTCTTGGCTACAGCAGTCTCTGGTAACTGGCTTCTCCCTGGATGCGACACAAATTCCAGTTTGAAGTGAAAAGAGCTTAGGACTCAATAATTTTTGGCCTGCTTGTAGCTTTGTGCATGTATTTCACGCTACCAGCTCAACGTGGCAGTCACATACAGCCTCCCCCCACCTCCTCCCCCGCTGCTGCTGTGTTAGGAGAAATAATTCTCACTCTGTGGCTGCAAAAGATAACACAAAAAATCTCAGGAATGCATCAACCAGGCACCTCCTCACCATCTCAAGCCCACATATGCTGACAAGCCACGACATTGTGCTGCAGGATGCTCTCACGGGTGACCTGCAATGCTACCTGCCATATGGATCACTGCTCCGTCGCACCATTTTGTAAGGATGCTCACAGGCAGGATTTACAGGAGGCAGGGATTGTTAGTGCTCTGTCAGTCGTAATCTCTGCTCAAGTGTGTATCAGCAATGGCTTTTTTTTTATTTTTTTTCTTCTGCATGCTGAAGCTTGGAAGAAACAAGTTGTTTTCTGATTATAGGGATCTGAGCTACATGCATATTATTCTCCGTTACACAATGTGTTTGATTACTAACATCCTGGAAATCGCAGACTTTTCTTCTGGCAAAACCAATTATTTTCTGTAATCTCGCAGCATGGGCATCATTGTCGTCTGAAACCGGCTTTTCCAGGATTGAATTTTATACCACAGTTTTCTCCTTCCCTTAAATCTGCTTTTATCTGTGTGTTTCACAGATTCAGCTAAGGTGCATGCTGAAAAGCCCCAGCCAGGGCATCGGTCTGTTGCTCACAGTATTAAGTATGTTCATGTTAACAGGAACTGCTGTGACACGCAGGAGCCCTGACTCTGAACCAGGTTCCCACTGAGACAGTGCCTCCACAAACCCAGAAAGTGATGAGCTACACCATGGGAGTTTACAGCTGAAGAATAGGTAATAGGCATATATGAAACACATGAATACAAGCGAGGATATGCAATGTGGTAACGGAGGAAATATAAATAAGGCAATTCTAGTGAGCACCACAGAGAGTGTTCTTGGCAGTCTAACTTTTTGGTCTGCTTTTTTTCAACTGGTCAAGGTTGTAGGGGGAAGGTAATACTGGTTTGTAAAGGTAATACTGGTTTGCAACAAGACGTGAGCTCTTTGGACATAATAACCTTTTTGTGCCCGTGCTGTGTAGTCATGAATGCTAAACATTCAAAAGAAGAGCAAGAAAGTCTCTCTGTGGGCATTAACAGGGAGTTTTACCCCTGTGGGAATGATGGCAAAGAGGAGGGAGTCAGATGAAGAGACACTACTGGACATTACTGGAGCAGTTATGCAGAGAGGAGAATCCCCATCCTTGGAGATTTGCAAGACTTGGCTAGACAACGCCAAGGCTGGCAGGGTCAAGCTCTAGCTTTGAGCAAGAGGTTGGACTAGAGACCTCCAGAGGTCCCTACCAGCCAACATATCCATGGCTGCAGCATGCTCTGCTTGCACCCAGAGCTTCAAATAACTTGGCTGAGGAAATATGAACACTGCACTAGCACCGGCTGCCAATGTAGGATACGATCTGCCTCACTATCCCCTTCCAAAAGCAGTGGTGTTTTCTCTCTCTTCTCTCATATCTCTACTGCTGAATAAATGAAGGGTAGGGGCTGATCCCTGGCTCCAAGGCTGAAGGGCACAGGCAGTATCCTATCGCCACTGCTTTGAACTTGTTTCTCCTGAAGCAGGCTGGCTGCTTATCTGCCACATAGCACTGAGCCACACGTCTCATCAGGACTCCGTGCAATGCCTCTAGGCCATACGATGTGGTTATTGTTTATGGGAGATTTTTCCAGTTCAAAGCATGTGAAATAACATAAAGGCAGCGTTGCGGCACACGGTGTGCTCCGAATGTCCTGTAGTGTGGCAAGAGGGCATGTGGGGTTATGTGGGGTGCAAAGCCCTGCTAAGATGGTGCTTAGGGATTGTAAAGGAAAGCAGGGTGCCCATGTTCCCTTTTGGAAAAGGTCCTCTTTTGGACTGTCCTCAGGCATCATCTGGGAAAGAGCTGGTGTAGTGGTCCAGATCAGAGCCAGGAGACAGCAGTGGAGCAGAGGGGCCATCAGAGAGCTTTCGTTCTGCCCTTCCAGTCAGATGCAGTATTTTAAACCTGCCCAAGTGTCTTTCTTTACCCATCTGTAGTAAGATGTTGGGCTCCTACCACTACTACTGGCACTGCCAGTGACACCTCCCCAGGCTGGTGAAGGAGGCAGGTTGGGAACAAGCCCAGGAGACAGGCGACCTGCTCCAGGCATGGGAGGAGGAAGGATGGGTCTCCTGTCCCAAAAGTCTGGTGAAGGAGGTGTGGAAAGGGTGATGGAGGAGTACCTGCCTCGGGTTTGTGGAAAACACACCAGTGTGCAAGTATTCAGCATCCTGGTACAAAAAAGGGATCTCCTGGAAAGAGTCCAGTGGAGGGCCACAAAGATGATATGGGGCCTGGAGCATCTTCGCTGTGAGGAAAGGCTGAGAGACCTGGGGTTGTTCAGCCTGGAGAAAAGAAGACTGAGGGGGGATCTCCTCAATGTGTGGGAGACAGAGGAATTTGGGCAACTTCATTTTAGTGGTTTGTCGGGACAGGACAAGGGGTAATGGCCACAAGATGGAGCCCAGGAAGTTCCACACCAACATGTGAGAGAACTTCTTCATGGTGAGGGTGATGGAGCAGTGGGACAGGCTGCCCAGGGAGGTTGTGGAGTCTCCTCTGGAGATACTCAAGGCCCGTCTGGATGCCTACCTGGGCAGCCTGCTCTAGGGAACCTGCTTTGGCAGGGGGTTGGACCCGATGATCTCTGGAGGTCCCTTCCAACCCCTACAGTTCTGTGATTCTGTGATCATTTCAGCCCTGCAAAGTTTCCGTCAGTAGCAGTTTGTGAGAACTTAATTACACAACAGTGTGGAAAAAAACAAACTGTTTATGACTTGCTGGATTACAGACGTAGCTCTTCATGTGGTAGGTAGAGTATGAGCTGGCCCAAAACATATCCGAGTGGCTTTCCAAGTCAAATCTCAAACAGCCATAGCTCTTGGCTCTGCAACAGGCAGATCTGATCTGGCAGAGAGCTCACACCTTCCGTCTTCATCCCGTGAGCTGCCCAAACCAAAGCCTGCTGCCCAGGCAAGTCATTTCCAGGCTCCTGCCTGTGTCAGCCAGGCCACGAGCCAACAGTGAACCCATCACGTGTGGAGCTGAGAGAAAACTCTCTTTCTCCTGACTGAACTAAGCCTCCAAGGGATGGAGGAGAAAATACAAGAACGTGTGGGTGGCAGGTAACACTTTCAGAAGGAGAATTGGGATGCTGGAGAGTACAGGATTGCCTGAAGCGAAGAACAGCTAATAGGATAAGCAAGCTCTGGCAGCAGATAGACAGGTGTAGGATAAACACAGGATTGAGTTAACCGGAGGAAATTTCTGTCCGTGAATGTAGGCTGATTTGTCTCCTGAGCAGGGCTGGGTGTCCGTGAGGACACGGCAATATGAACACAGAGGAATGGCAGTACTTAGGGCTGCATGCAGGACCTGGGCACGCATGGTTTGAATAACAGATTTCCACACGTCTGAGCACTCTGAATAAAGAAACGCTTTCTCTCTCATCAGCCTGTTGTTATTTATTCACTTTCAGGAAAGCAGGACGGGGAGAGAAAGGAGACTGGCAGCTGATATTGGTATTCAGGAGCTGAATGAGGATTTTAATGTATGCCTGCTAGTCAGGAGGCAAAATCCTCAATATAAATGCTAAGCATTGCATGCTCTTATGATGATGACTGCATGAATATGCATTGTCTCTGCTGGCATGTGGAGTCTGTCTGATCGTCCTTGTGCTTTGTCACAGTCTGGACGTGCAAGAGAGAGCTGTCAGGGAGCCAGCCTGTGACTCCACCAGCAAGACAAACAGCCAGTGCTGGGATGGCTATAAAGTGGGCTTAAAACAGAGCTAAAGGCAAGTCTGGCTGAGAGCTCCCAGTGCAGGGGAAGCCTCTCCCTCCCCAAGCTCTGGCAAAAAGGAACCTTTTGTCCCCTCTCACGTGGTGGTGGGGACAACAAGGGTTGGGAAGAGCTGATGGGGGAGCCAGCTGGAGGTCTCACCAGCAGAAACCGTGGCTGTAGCTGGTGGAGCTGGGCTTCCTGGTCACTCGGAGATGTCCATACAGCTCTTCGGACTGCCTCTGGAGGAGGAAGGGCTCGAAGCAGACTTGCATCTACACCTCCTCAATTCCCTTCCCAAAGTTTTTCTGTGTTTAATATGAATGTGTGTCTGGTCCGTTTGCTGCTCTCACACAACCAGCTCTCTTTTAGGATGTGTCCAGGGTCCAGTCCACTCTGCCAGACCCCAGCTCTAGTGCCAATAGTCCCCCCCAAAGTACACTGATAATGAAGTGTTGCTTGTTCCAGTGCTTACCATCGCAGTACCTTCTTGGTTATTACTGCTCAAGGAACATTATCCATGCAGTAAATTATTGACAAATGCAGCTCTGTGGAAATTCAAAACTGTTGTCTGTCATTCTGCTGAATAAATAATGGTATTTGGAGCACTTGCAGCAAACATCGTGTCTCCCTGATCCAAACAAAAGGAGGGAAAAATAGACAAATGCACTTTCCCTGGATGACTTCAAAGGCAGAGAAAAATATTTTGCTTCTCAAGATCCACACTTGATTTTACTAGGAACTGCATACAAAATAAGGGATGTAGAGAGCTCCCAGCAGCTATTAGAAGACCCTTAGCTTGCAATGGGAAGGCACCGCTCCCTTCATAGTGTTGAGTCCTCATTTATCTTCAATAGTTGCAGTAAAATTTTATTTAGGGGACTTGAATAGATGGGACCTTCTTTGCATAGATACAGTAAATTTGTTTAAGAAAATAATCTGACAGGAAAAGGCAAAAAGTGTCTGCTAATTAATTCAGATCTGCCCCTTCTAGAAGTCTGCACTCCAGGCACCTAAATAATTCATTGCACAGCATTACTCTGTGTGACTAATAGCACTGTGGGTGATGCTTTTTTTTTTTTTTTTTTTAAACACCTGCTTTCTTTTGTTACTTTGCAAAACTAAGCAACAAAAGAAGGT